CCATTCTCGTATTTTGCAATAATTTCTTTCTTTAATGATACACTAAAACGTTTTCTATTTCCACTGTCACTTTTCTCTTTCTTCGGTGCCATATTGATTAAATATACAGTATAAATAACAAAACTAAAAAACAAAGTTTAGCACACTCGAAAAAGCAATGCTTACCTTGAGCACGCCTAAGAGCAACTGAAATTTGTGAGGTTCCAGAACGGCTGGAAACTATTGGGTTGATGCAAAAGTTTGTCCCGTTTTTAGGACCAGCTGGCTAAAAATGCAACACTGAAGTATTATTTCCTTCACATGTGTAAAATTTCGATGTTGTTTGACAAAAAGGATCTCAGCTAGTATTTGAGAATAAAGTTGTGTTACTTAGTTGTGTTTTTAAAATTTTGTTAAGCATTACAAATGGCAGAAAATAAGGAGCATTTTCGACATATTATGCTTTTTTATTTCCGAAAAGGCAAGAATGCTTCGCAGACACAAAAGATATGTTCTGTGTATGGTGAGGGAGCCATTGATGATTCCACATGCCGTAAGTGGTTCAGAAAGTTTCGTGAAAGCAAGCTTACAAATTTGACACAAAAAACCATTAAGTTCGTTATCTGAGACAAAATTTTTGCAAAATAAAAGTTTGTTAACCAATTTGGTTGTTAACCAGGACATTCGTTAACCGGGTTCCACTGTATTTTCTTTTTGAAGGTCCTGGTCCGCGATTACTTACATTAAAAAATTTTCTAATGTTCCTTTCTGTTTTTTGCTCATTGTTATGGGTTAATTATAAATATATAAAACTAAACACACAATATAAGAAAGAAATGCACTATTATTCGACCCAAAGTCGATGCTAAAACTAAACTAAAACTAAAACATTCAAAACTTGTAAAGAATATAGGAAGAAATAAATAAATAAAAGAAAACTAAATACAAAAACTTTATCTTTCTTATTTCACTTTTCAATACGATATTCGGTTATACATTAATTTTCTTTTTATTATATTCTGAAGGAAATTTTGCATAATTTGGCGGCCCCCAGCAAACTTCTTATGGCCGCGGCTCCCTGTTAAGAAACACTGCTATATAACATCAAGTACTCCACAAACTGTCAAGTGGTCTACCTGAAGCTGGCACAGTTCCATGGGCTAGATAGATAAATGTGATAGTTTTACAGATGACAGTATTGCATATCAGATTAAAGTTACAGCTGGCCTTCAGTTATAGAAAAGAACCAGTTTTTTAAATCAGGAACCTATCAGGAACAAAAAGTTCAT